ACATTTTTCTCTTCAGCTGCATTACCAAATAAGTCCATAGTACACACCTAAAGTCATTTAATAATTTCAACTTCTAATCTTAGCCAAAATTCAAATCCAATTTAAAAACTCATAAAAGCTCCCATACAAGTTTCACTGTTTTAAAGCAATTCTATCAAAACAACAACCAATAGTACTTTTCTAGGCATTAACGACCATACTGTTCTTTTTCAAGAAAGTTTAGAACGAAATGCTTACATCAACGATATCCATTAAACATGAGTCCAGGTCACCAGCACAAAGTTGTTCTTCCATAGCTGACAGTAACTTGTGCACATAGAAAATCATCACATGAAGCTAAAATGAGTATGGATTTTCCTCAATCAAATTAAAAAATCCATTCTGAAAAACGATGGCTTTCATAATGGCAAGGATATATATTAAGTATGAATATTTCCACTAACCAACCAACACATATTCCAGGTTGAAGATCTTACTTTTTTGTGAATCTATTGACCAATATGGAAAGTGAGAGTGAAATGAAATCATTCCCTAATAATCCAAAATGCTCAAAAAACAAGCATTGCTTTAAGATATGTAATCATATGAAGGAGGTAATGGAAGAAACTATCACAGTTACGAGAATTAAATTCACGAGTCCTAAACAAAATATCTATTGAAAAAAGCATCATTGACACAGTGAACGAATTATATAAAGCTACTAACACTAATTAACTGCCAAGTGCAGTTGCTATGCATGATCAACTAATGTACGGGAAGCGGCGCCGGGTAAGACTCTTGTCGAAATTGCTGACTTGTTGTGAAAGTGTTGCAGATTGATTGTTATTGATTCACGGACAAATTATTTGTTGAGACTAATTTTAGAGTTGGGAACTTTTTCTCGTATCAATAGATAAAATGAACAACAGATTTGGTGACAGTTGCGAGCAGAGACCATCAATAAGCGCCGGATAATTAAATGAATTCTGGTCCGTATAGTTCACTTTTTGCATACCTGATGTTGGGCGGTACCAGAATCGTAAACAATGAGTCAGTTCGGGGAAGGAAGGAAGGATGAAAAGAAGACATTTGTTTCACAGTTATAAAACAGTAACTCCCAACAACACAAAGAGGTCATATGACAATAAATTAAATTTAACAAAGACAAAATTGTGAAGCACAACTCCTGAGTCAGTGATACAAATCTCAATTGATGCGAATAATTTTGTATCACGAAATTTCGGATAACACGAGAAATGAGAGGTGGAAGAGTGAATGAATGACAGGAAGAAAGGAATTCGTGAAAACCACGACAACAACTAAAATCCATCAAAGGACGAGCACTCATCCCAGAAAGAAATTGTATTTGCTTTCGTGTTGACTCAAATTATATTCATCTTTAATATTTTCCTTTTACTTCAAACTGACTCTCTCCTTTTGCCCACTCTTTTATTGACATAGCATCCTTCCGCGGATACTGAGCATTTTCTTTTTCTGTAATTCAGTTTTTTGTCACTGTAACGGATTTCCGTTCAATTTTTCAAATTTCAAAAATTTTTTATATGACAGTGACAATAAGAATGATGAGTAACTAATTTGAAAACACCACAACGATTAGCTTTATAAAATTCAAATTTCACATAAAAACGTTTGTAAACAAATTCCATAAAGGCATCTACAACGATTTCAGGCCTTCGAATTTCGTGACATGATGGAGGGAGGGACAAATCTGTGATATGTTGGCGCAAATAAATTGACGTCAGTGAGGATGGCCATTACTTGTTGCTTCCACCCACCTACTGGCCCGATATTTCCTGGCCACTCTCTCTTAGTGCTCGCTTCTCTGTTCTTTTCATAACATTCATCTTCTTTTATACTGCTTCCGCTTTTTTCTCATATTGAAAAATTCATGCAATCGATTAATTGAAAACGAATTGCCTCTACTCTGTCAAGTTGAAATGAATGACGACCATATGTGAGTCGTTCTCGAATACATTCTCTTCAGCTAATCTCACAGAGAAGGAGACTCCTTATTTCTGTTTAGTGTTCAAATCTATTGACGAACAAAATATTATCAGCTTTTCTTCATGGATTTGGAATCATTCCTTGTTTGAGAATAAACGTAACTGTTTTGACAATATTGAATTTCAATTGTCATATTGAACATCAAATATTGAATAATGGTTATCTCTTCTTGTCTCTCCTGTTGTTTAACTGAATTAATTAATTAATTTAATTACTAGTAACTGTTATTGCCTAATATCTCCGTTTTCTTTTTTTGCACATGTTATGAATTTGTAGCACTTTGACAATGTATTTACTTCATATTTTGCTGCATAAAATAGTGTTCGTTAAAGTGTAACATCAATTTATCACAATGCTACTTTCGTGAGATGCAAAGTTTACAAACTTATTGGCTTCTGTAACGTCAGACAATATATCCAAAGTAACAATTCATTGATGGAAGTTTATTATCCATTAAGTGGTCAAAGAAAAGTGACAAAACATGTGTTGTCATAAATGCAAGCTTAAATGTTCTCTGAAATTAATTTTTGCGCCCCGGAAACTCATTCACGCTACCAAATCTTATCAGTTGCTTCTGCCAACTAAAAGTAATCAAAAGGTGTGCCCAACTCGGAACATTGAAATATATGGAATACAGAAGCAGTGAATCAGAAAGTTCGGATCGGGAGTGTAAGGCGAAAATACTCCTCCCTGGCTATCATTTCACTTTCTTCACTATACTGCCATCAATATCTTTACCACCGCATCGTCCCTTCCTCTGTCGCCAAATTCTCGCCCAAGACACAAGGAAACTTTTTTCTTTCGTTCGTTCTGATTATCTTCTATTATTATTAATCATATCGACTGCTTCTGCACTCCACTAACTGTCCCTTTTAACCTCTTAAATCTACGTCTTCTTTTCCTTTCTTTCATTCCATATCTTCTATATGATTGATTGTACTGACAGGTAATGATTATTCCCAAATACAATGGTAACTGGACATAAGTATGATGGGATCACTGACTACCTTATCATCTGCTCTCCCTTGTCGACCAACGAGTACTTCTCCGCGGGAATTTCATACCTTAAATGTTTTTTAATGTTAAATGTTGAAATGTGTTAAATGTTTTAAGATTCAGAAATCAACTAGACTGATGTCCTTTCGCTGTTATTGGTTACACGTAATTTTAATGCACCTGATATCAGTATAAACACATATGAGTTCAATTATTAAGAACGTCAATACAATAACTCTGCAGCAGGAATAACAACAAATAATAGAAGTGAAGCAGAGAAAGTAATGATTTCTTGAAGGTACTCTTCTCCTACTGTCGCAAATTCATCCAACTACAGATGCAAAATTTTCTATGTGATAGACTCCTCGAAAATTCGACCAGGAAGTGCTCGAACAGGATACAGAGTAATGATTACAGCGACAATTGGCGAAGCCATCAAATTATGTTCATTCAACCGTTCGTCTTTTTTTAATATTTCGTTTCATTTTATTTTTTCGAATTTTTTTCCATGCTGTACTGATCGGATCCAAGACAGTTTCCTCCTGCAAATTTTGAATAACTTATAGAAACAGATGGATTAGGCATAATAATATTAAGGCTAATAGCTAATATTTTCCTAATAACCAGCCAACCTTTTGTTTTCGTTTCCTTCCTTCAAATTTGGATGCAAATAATTTATTGCACTCAGCTATGCGTTTTGTAAATTCCTCATCACCAATTCTTCCTTTTATAGTTTCCGCCACATCTGTCGCGACCTTTTGTAATATTTCAGTGTCTAGAATAGATGATAATGATATAACTCACATATCCGATATAATGCATTTCAGCCGCAATATCTAAATAGAAATAATTTTGAGCAAAAAAAGGTATTTATCAGTATATTTCTTTTTAATGCTGAATTCAAAAAGTATACTTTGCGTTGATTTGCCTTGCATTTCACGATAGAGAGAAGGTAATAATGATTGTAACACAACATCGATTCGATTAGCATCAATTTTCAAAACGATAACTGCTGTCACTTTGAAAACATTAATCCTCTGCAAAATGAGATTATACAACTGAAACAGAAACTGTATCCGCCACTGAATGAGTAAATTCAATGACGAAAAAAAGTTGATAAAGATCGAGATCGTCAAAAAGTCCTAAAAATGCTTTCAAATTGTAAGAAAAAACTAAAATGCGTAAGCAAAAGACAGGCAAGAGAAGCGACCTACTCGAACGATTTCAGCTGGTAACTTGACCAATTCAAAGTTACACAACACACTAAGTCTATGACAAAGCCATCGAACATCTTCATCTGAATGCAAAACTACGTCAAAAAGATACACCAAATTCTTCGCTATCTGAAAGACAAACATAAAAGTATCACAAACTCCAGGTGTTACCAATGGAAATTAGCTGATACCATAAAATACACAAATAATGATAAATTATTTAAAGAAATAAAATTTCGTGCTTTCATAAATCAAACCTGTTCAGCTAGTTCACCAGTTAGTCGGTAAGTTTTCATCTGTGCCAATGTCCACTGAATGAACTCTCGAGGAGATGGATCGCTTCGTAATAACATGTATTCTTTATTAAAAATGGAAAACAATGAGCCAAGAAATCGAGCCGCAGATAACTGAACAGTAGGCGAATTGCTGCATCGCGCCAACGGACCCATTTCTCCTAAAAAATAATTCGGTATAAATGCATTTGTGGATTTAAGAACTAAAACAAAAATAATGTTGGAACCTGCAAATTTCCATAATAACCAGCATAATATGTGCAGAACTTATGAAATTAAATCATAACTCTTTCTACTTCTCTTAAAACCTGAAATTCAGGTTTTATTCTTTCAAATATTATATTTTCCTTCCTTTCTACACTTCTGATTCTCACACTTATTTACCACCACAACTTGCTAAATTCATGAATTCTTACTTAAAATGGAATCCAGTAATCCTTCTGCAGCAAACTGCATTGTTTGGTTTTTGCGTTCACTCATCAACAAATTAAGGCTATCAATAATGATACTAATACTTTCTTCAGCATATGAATATAAAATATCAGCAAGGACAATTTTCGACAGCGTGGGTAACAATTCTCGGATAGTGTTTCCAAAATTCTCGCCTCTCAACTTGTTAAATATTACTAGTGTTTGTATGGCAATACAAATGAACACTTCCTGAAAATAATGCAAACGAAGCATCAGCTTTCTTGACCACTATTTTCAATTACACTATTAATAAAATGCATTTTCAGATATTTTCAAAAGGATTATAATAAGCAAACTAGCCTTTTTACTTTCTAGCCAGTCCCTTGTTGCCAAATATAGGTCATTTCGCTTAGATTCCGATACAGATATTATCAATTTATCTATAGTCAGCACAACCATCTGACGACATTCTGTACTTTCATCATTCATTAATCGAGCTGCTAGTTTCACAAACGCTAATAAAGCATAACGATCATTAATTTCCTGTAAATAAGCATCACTATCACGTAGTTAAAGCCTTTCAGGAACACAAAACTATAAAGCAATCATACCGACTGATTTCTTCAGATTCATAATACAGAATGGGCTAATTTTGAATAATAATTAGCAAGAATACTGCTGCCCAACAACAAAGCCTAATCACAAATCAATATTAGACTACCTCACTTTGGAAATATAAAAATAACAGACAAACCACTGTAAGCCTCTCGAAAAATATGCTCAGCATTTCAAGTGCAGACCTTCTGCCATCTTCATGCTGGTAATCAAGTTGTTCCAAAAAGAATTCAACATATTTCGATGGGTTTTTACACTGCGGATGGTTGCCAACAAACAGCGTTATTATCTGAATAATAATTCAATTCTCGGAAATGCTTTTTTCTTTAAATAAACATTCAGAATTTATTTATTCTAATTACATCATAAAAAAGTTCAGAAATATTTTATTTATAAATGACAAGAAGTTATTTAAAAAAATTTACATCCATTGATAACAGTTACTATGAGATTTCTCAGATCGTCAACAGTATATCTTATTTGATTCAAATTCATCAATAATTGCACTTTTGTAACACAACCAGCATTAACATAAATTGAAGGACATCAGTTAAGCTGCTTTATATCAATAAATAGAAATATTAAACTTAAAAAGAGATACAGCATATGAAATACAAGTTGTCTTAGTAAACTGAGATTAGCACTGACCACAAAAATAAATGAGACGCATGCTAAATTGTATATACCCCAAGAAAGATATTAAAAATTGTTTCAAAGTAAAGCAATTCAAAGCAATGCTAGCCATACAAAAATGTAAAGGCTCTAAATAATAACATTTCCTGATATTTTTATTTCAGACATAGTTTTTATAAAATTATTTAATTCCCAAAACTCTTCCTTTACTATATATATACCAAACAGCGGCATAGTATTAAATATTAAATCCTTCTTCTCTTGAATTAGTGATGACCTTAATTAGGATCAAAACGAGCTTCCGCCATTTGCAATCATTAGCTGTTGCTTGTTGCGGATCTTTGTTTCAAAAAAGAGTTTTAAATAAAGGCTACCTGCCGACACTGCTCTCGAACATGCAAAACTTCTGATATAATGGCAGTTTCTGCGAGATAGTGAACGATTTCGATGATCTGAAAAGCCAGTATCTACCTCCTCCAAATTTAGCCTAAGCACAATGAAAATGATTAAAACTCAAGCAGTTCCTTTAGAAGTGCTTCATAGTAACAATAAAAATGTTTACGGAAAATGGCAGTGTTTTTAATTTTTAAGACAATTTTTTATTTAATTACACAGTTAAACTGATTTTCGGATGTCATTATACAGAAATCTACTTTATCAATAAATTACTGCAAGACTGAAACTGTCTCTATAATAATTCCATGCAAGCTGACCTTTGGATCCTGAAATTTTCGGGTGATGATTGCCTTGATAAGTGGGAATGCTACTGCCTGCTTCTGACTATCAACAATATCGGTCTCAACATAGGTCAACAATAATTGCAAGCGTTTCGATGTAAGCACAAGAGAAGGAGCATCTTTTATTATTTGTGTAATAGCCTTCAAAAATTATATCGAAATTCAAAACATCAGAAGTCGAAAAAAGTTAGACTGAAAAAGCTTGGCACCAAAAAATGAACTCTAAAGAAGTTACTTTCGAAGTTTCAGAAGGAGGAAAAACAACGAAGAAATTAATAATACTTCGTTGTGGTTTTTTCTGAAATCTTTGAAAGATATTACTTAATAACACGTATCTGTTAATGTTTAATTAAAGAGAAATTAAACGTTGCACAAATTAAGATCTGCAAAAGACCAAAAAACGAATTTACCTTAAACACCAGATGAGAAACTTCAACAGATTTTCCGACATATTCTTGAGTGTTGCTAATTGCATCCGAAGTTGTATAATCAGCTAATAAGATGAATAAATGGTTTAGAAACTGAGTTATCATCGATCGCAAAGAAGGAAGAGGAAATCTGAGCAATATCAGGAAGCATCGTAGAGAATGCACAAGGATCTAAATTAGTTGAAGATAAAATTAAATCGGGACAATTTTATAACTTTGAATGTTAACGGAAAAAATTTTATTTTTTGAAGTCCCATCTACAATGCGCCAAATATTAATTTATACATTACTCAACATTAATAAATGATTCAAAATGTTTAAATAATCCTTATCCCCAACTAGAAAAGAAATTCAAAAATAAAGCAACGCATAACACAGTACAGAAACCAGTATTACCTGGATCATCTGCTATAAAACCAAAAGATATTAGTGAATTCATAATAATTAAACTTTTGATGCCCTTACCTTGTCATATTTTAGCTTTAAACACTGCAAAATAATATGGACAAATGGATCCAATCGTGCAATGTCATCCCTGGATTCTACATCAAAAGTCTTCTTTTTTAACACCAGGTACAGCTCAGAGAGACCAAATTCAACAAAAATATGCATTTTGCTCTTTGTGGACACTTTGACAATTACTCCTACACTGAAATATCCTGAATCTCACTCTTCATACCATGAAAATTAACAAAAGAAGTCATAAACCTGTTTCAATTTTCAATCAAAACAGATTAAAAATGATTTCTATTCTTGAAAAAATCAACTCTCCCGCTCTTAGACTTTCTATTACCTCTACTGATGTTTCTAATGCGAAAACAGCGAGGTTTTCTCTAAATCTTCTAGATTGTACAAATTAGAACCAGCTTTTAAATATTTTTATAAAAAAAAATAACAAAATGTGTCTGAGAACGGATATATTTCCTATTTATATGAGAATTTCGCAACTTTGGTGCTAATACTGATTAGTTTGATGAAACACTTAAAAAGTTGCTTCGCAATACTTGATCTGAAGATGTTTTTTAAGATAAAAATAAATAACCGATTAGGTTCTTTTTCTAAAATCAAGCAACTTTCTAGACGCCTTCCTTCCTTTGTTGGTTGTGTGTCATGTTGAATACCGCTTTTAGTCTCCTTCAGAACTTCTGTTATATGATCATTTAAGAGTTGATATGCAAATACCAACGCAACTTCAGGTTCAATTCCCTCATTGGTCGATATTCCCAGTGAATACTGCCACAACAAGCGATTTACTTTACGCACTGTTTTTGCATCTGGTGCAGATTCTACAACCTAAAATACATATGCACATAACTAACAACAAAAATGACGTTCCTAAAAAAACATATTATTAAAAAAATAAAAAAGCGTCTACCTTTTAAAGCGAGGGAGGACAATATATTTTGATTGCAGTATTACAATCTTATATCAGCGGTTTTTAGAAATAAAATGTTTTAGATTTTTACAACTTGGAAAAATTGAAAGGACCTTTTTCAAGACTACTAGAACATTGCCAAGATACTGGGAACTTATATATCGGCCAAGTAATCTGTATGTCTCATATGTTCGTTGTATTTTTGCTTCTGGTACATCTTTGGTAATGCCAGACACATTTTTCTCTTCAGCTGCATTACCAAATAAGTCCATAGTACACACCTAAAGTCATTTAATAATTTCAACTTCTAATCTTAGCCAAAATTCAAATCCAATTTAAAAACTCATAAAAGCTCCCATACAAGTTTCACTGTTTTAAAGCAATTCTATCAAAACAACAACCAATAGTACTTTTCTAGGCATTAACGACCATACTGTTCTTTTTCAAGAAAGTTTAGAACGAAATGCTTACATCAACGATATCCATTAAACATGAGTCCAGGTCACCAGCACAAAGTTGTTCTTCCATAGCTGACAGTAACTTGTGCACATAGAAAATCATCACATGAAGCTAAAATGAGTATGGATTTTCCTCAATCAAATTAAAAAATCCATTCTGAAAAACGATGGCTTTCATAATGGCAAGGATATATATTAAGTATGAATATTTCCACTAACCAACCAACACATATTCCAGGTTGAAGATCTTACTTTTTTGTGAATCTATTGACCAATATGGAAAGTGAGAGTGAAATGAAATCATTCCCTAATAATCCAAAATGCTCAAAAAACAAGCATTGCTTTAAGATATGTAATCATATGAAGGAGGTAATGGAAGAAACTATCACAGTTACGAGAATTAAATTCACGAGTCCTAAACAAAATATCTATTGAAAAAAGCATCATTGACACAGTGAACGAATTATATAAAGCTACTAACACTAATTAACT